TAAAACTAATGAATGGCTGGAAAGAGCAGCTCAGAATGATTGGGATAATACAATTACCTGCAGACAAGCAAAAGAATCCATGCCGTTTCGATCAAAAGCCAGAACTAAGGAGCTACTTATGCTGAACATAAGTGGCACCCGACTTGTCACACGATTTCTAACTGGACACTGCGGAGTTAAAAAACATTTTTTGAATTTAGGTATTACTGGAGACGACAGCTGTAGACTTTGTTACGGAGAAGAGGAAACAGCAGAACACACTTTGTGTCACTGTGATAGTCTTGCAAGACTCAGACTTCGCTACTTATCCATTGCCTATCCGCTTATAATGGAATTAGGCAACATCTCTCCAAAGGACATATTGGCATTCTTAACTGCTACTCGTCTATGGAACTGAAGTGGGTATGTCACAATAATCCTCGAGGATGTAGTAACGCGGTGACTACTTCCCAACCCTTTTCTTTCAAAAAGAAAAAAAAAAATAAAAAAGACAATCAAAAAATCTCGGATCTAGTTTCTATACTCGCATCAAATGAATCCAAAAATCCAATACATTTTTAACTGATATCACCTTGGTTAAAAAACTGCTGTTATAAAGCAAGTTATTGTAAATTATCTGAATCAGTGGTCGGTGTTCGTTTGACAATATTAATATCGTAATTATATTGACAGTAGTTTCATCTTACTTAAATAAGCCTTAGCCTTAGTTGAAAATTTTAACTTTCATATAAAACTTGTTTTTTTAAACCAAATTTTCTCCTGACATTACTTTCGCTTTAGCCGAATCCAAAAAGTCTTATTCAAAGTCTTATATAAAGGCGAAGGAAATGCTAGCGATTTAAGCATCAAGTAAACCAACTTACGAAGTAAGAACATCAAGTACTTACCTTACAAATGTATGGTCTTAGAGTGCTAAATACTATACGAAGTTTAGTTAGTCAACCTTTAAATATTGTGTTTCAGAAGACATCATATTAAACCACTCGTTGTGCTTTTACTATAACGCTGTTATGAACCATGCAATCAGCAATCATGCAATCAGCTGTTATAATAGTTTTTGTACAGAAAAATGCATATTTTTATTTTCTTGAAGTTAGGATCCTTTTTTATGAGCTTATTATTACGAAGAACGTACGCTAACATTATTCTAACGTCAGTTTTAAGCATATTAGTTAGGAACTCTTGATTTCAAATAAGTACTATCGTACCATTGCTACGATAGTATTATTATTATGCACAAAGAGATCGTGCACTGCGACCTAAAAGATCTATTATGCCCCTTACTCGGGTTAAAGTGTTTCTCCAAGTCTCCAAAACAGTGTAGAGCCCATCTTTCCTAGTCTTGAATCTTTATGATCCATGAAATACCCTCCTAGTTGTTTCTTTCGCTTGTGCAGCAGTGCCGTGCACTCCCCAAGCACATAGTACTCCAGTTTCTCTCGCTCCTCTACAGCAGCTGTACTCTAACTTGAACTGAATTCCTAACTTCGATAGCTGATTATTCAATCTACAATGACCGGTCAATAATCCCGTAATAATTCTTAAGTTATTTTTTGATTGTGCTATGCAAACTTTGATGCTTTTTAGGTTGTAAGTCCCTAAAAGCATTTTAGATCTTATTAGTCTTGGTAGCTTTTCCCAATAGAGTTCTCTTTCTTTTTCCTCTGCACCATTCATAAGAATAGATAGAGTGCCTTTGCCTAGACCACAGAATGGTACTATTGTTACTCTGCGTTAACTTTTAAGCACCTATTTTAGGTGCTTAACGAATAAGCATATCGCACCACAATATTATAGTGTCAAATTTTAAAACTGATCTATTGTGAATGATATTTGGAAAATTCCAATAAAGAAAACTTCAAAAAACCCTTGCGGTAAGTGGGTTACCAAACCATTTTAATTCCAATTTTAATATATGTTCTTAAGTCAAATGTGACGACTGGAAGACAATAGCTCACTTAAGCTTTATAAGTGAGTTGACATAACATTGTGATGGACTTGATATCTCGTCTTACATACCTTTTACGAGTGATGTATGAATTTAGTGTTGTTAATAAGTTTTTATTAAATAATAAATTATGTTGAATAATGAATAATACACATCATACAATACGCAGTCATGATTGTGGAGAATATCGATTGCTCTGATGGCATACCTTTTTCAAAGAATGCTTCTGTGTTTGTGTACGATATTCTGAATGGCTTATGTCAGTTCACGTAGAAATGGAACAAAAGAACTCCCAACTGATTTGATCTTTCAATTATTTACATTTAAGTGTCAGAATTGTTTGTGCTTGAAATTTTGTCACTTTCGCTCCTTGAATATTTACTCTGTGATGATTCAACACTTTAACCCGTTACGGCCGTTACGGACGTTACGGACGTTACGGCCGTTTGGAGTGAACCACTTAAAATTCCTCATTACAAATTCAAATAATAAACTCCTTGGCATAACAACAACTTAATTGACTATTCGAAATGGTCATTAAAGTTTCAAAAATCTAATACGGAAGTAAATGTTTTGATTTGAGGCGGTAATACATAAACGAAACAATTAATACAATTTATGTGCTATAATTATTAGTTTTTGGCTTCTTCTTGATTGCCTCAACACGTACAAGGACAACACTGTGGAGTGCGTATGTCGAAAATCGTTGAATGTTAAAGTTAAACACTCCAGGACTGTGGGCAGGACATGGTGGGCAGCGGCATTTCTGACACTTTGTCATGCAACGAAAACCAACATTTGTATATAAACAAAGTAAAAAAAAAAAATTAAAAAAGAATTTTCAATAAAAAAACAATAAGTGAAACGTGAATAGTTAAATTCGTTTATATATATACACTTTACTAAAATCGAATGAGTGAAGCTAATAAATTTTATTGAAAATCCTTACTAAATTTCATTCGGCATAACAACGAATTCAATAACTGCTAAAATAATCATTTATCGGTTATTAGAGGCACGCAACATGTGAACTTTTCCAACTCAAGCTATTCGTCCTGCTCGTCCTATTCGTCCTGTTCGTCCTGCTCGTTTTGCTGGGCCTGTAGAAACGAGTGTATGCGTCCACATAGTTTTTCGCTCTATAAGTAAGGTATTAATATTTAATGACAATCTGACGTATGGACATTTCATGCACGCATGTTGCGCATACATAACATAATCAACGGAAAAAAAACAAACTTCATTAATTCTTATCATTATTAATTATACATTAAAATTGCTTTTGTCCAGCGTGACACATATTATGAAGTTGCACCAGTCAACTCAACTAAATAGTAATTATCGCTGATCTCACTTGCAGTCTCGCTACCTCGCTACCTCGCTACTTTCTCTATTTAGTATCGAATTAACTAGTAAATTTATTTAACCATTCGTAATCTGCTCCAGTTTATGCGGGAAACAAAATTTCGCCTGTATCCTGCTAGCCTTGTAGACCAGTGTAATTTCAGTACTATTATGTACTCGTACTTGTTCGTTATTCGTTATTTTTGGCTGTTAACCTTTGTAAAGAAGGCTACAGAAAATGCGAATGAAAAATTCATAACTTTCTGTTTCAGCATTAATTTTGGTAGCTCTGCTGAGCAATTTTGCAGTGCCTTAATTAATATTTATAAATATTAAATATATTAAATATTTTTGCAGAAATTAGTTTGAATTATGACAGGACATTAAAATGAAATTGTGAATTTCAAAATGAATGAAATATTATTTTTCATGTACTTTTCCATGCATTTAATACTTAATTCATTTCTATTAAAATAATTGAAATATTTAAGTGTATTAAGGTTATTGTGCAGCTGAATCAGAAAAATACGAGTCGAAAGTACAGGGTTATATATTTTGAAATTCTAAAAGTCGATGAAACAAAACACTCCTTCGAATGAAATTTTGTTTAAGTTTATTTATTAGTATATTATTTAAACATTCTTATAAATCGTGACATAAACAACACTAAAATATTCTTCTCTACACATCTTTAAGTCAATGAAATGTAAACATATAATTAACAATATCTTGATCATAACTTTATAAATATTGATTTTGTAAGCCTCGAGAGTCGAGAGAACTATACACATAAACAAAATTCTTTGTGACATCTCACAAAAATAAGTCCAGTCTTGACGAATGGTTTGTCGTTGTAGGTGAATTGACTAAAACGGTACTGTCACTTTAAATGACAGCTGATAAGCTATCCACAACTGCATCAAATACTGTTCTTACAGGCTCTCAACTCTTTTGTGCGTTAAACTGAACCAATACAAAACAAATAATCAAGAAGAGGGAGAAGCATTAGTGGCTGGTGTAATGGGTAGCGTTCCCAGGAATTTGATAAAGCAAAGCACTGATCAAACCGTACTCCTACAAAAACATTCTTAAATTCTCAAAAGGCAATATAAGATTGATAACGGATCATTATGATCTGAAATATCACCTACATAAACTTCGATTATCTGCTAATTCAGAATACAGATTATGCCTTGCAGACGAGGAAACAACTATGCATTTTCTTTGTGACTGCCCAGTTTTAAGAATGCACAGAAGAAACTTATTTCATATAGAATTTCTATCACCAGAGAGAATAGATTAAGAGCTCTTCTCTAGATTTAGTTCTGGACTTTGTTAACAAAACACTAAAGGGCTTTGTGTAATTACAAGTGAATTAGGTACAAAAGGGTTCTTCCGCCCGCAGTATCAGCTATTGGGCGATTTCACAACAATAGTTTAATAATAAATAATAATAAGGCATCATTCTTTTAAAATCACTTATACATCATATCGTATGTCATTTAATGACTCATACTATATAATACAGTGAATATAACATGTATAGCTAAGTATGTACACATTTCATCGTGTAAACCACCTATCATATCTATAAGATTTATATTACACATATGCATCTCAGTATGTCATGACATTTTTTTCAGGGATCTATACTAAGTTGTTTATTAATTTTAAAATAGAATCAGAATTTTTTTCGTTGTATTAAACGAAGTTAGAAAACACGTCCTGGAAAATCTTCATTTTCCATCGCAACTGATTAATGCAATTAAATTAACAATCGGAGTTACTTGAAAATAAAGCTTTTAATAAAATTGTGTTAAGTTCGTAGTTTTATTTACGTTGAAAGCTTTGAAAAGATTATTAATTTTTGAATATCTCTCAAAAGTACGACAAAGCAAAATTAAACAAATTGTTTCATTGGTATCAACTCTCGGAAATTTTTGGATCTTGGAATAACATACTTTGGGTAAGTCATAGAACTTAAACCAATATCGAAAAATATTATAAAAAACTGTTATAAATGTGTTGGAAAAAATCTTCGCTTATTTTTCTGGTGCTATTTTTGAAGATACTCGGAAACCTTACTATTTATATTCACTACAGGAAGGCGTATCTTAATGAATGTGTGATTTCCATTTCTTACACTTCCATTTCCATAATTCCAGTTTGCAAATCGGGGTTGAGTATGTCATTAGATAGATAATAGTTCTTTAGGGCTATATACCTTTTTGCTTTGGCGTTTTCTTCGGTGACTAGCTTTAACTGTGTCCGAATATTATCACCAGGCAAAACAACTGATGACTGAGATTAGAGACTTTATTAAAAGACTCTAATTTCTTCGCATCTAACTTACTAAGTTACTTATTTTAGCATTTTAAAATTTCAGCATTTAACATTTTTACTCTAATTTTGCTTGCTTTGTTTTTAAGTAAGTTAAAAGACATGGAAGCTCTTTGTATGGTTAATGAAATTAAAGATTAAGTAGTGGAAACATAATATTACTATTATTAGTAGGTTTACCTTTTTAAAATGACTTAATATATGTTCCTGAGTACAGTCTAATACTTTTTCTCTCTAATACTTATTTGATGTTTTAAATTTATTACCTTCAATATCTATATCATCTGTATATGCCATGGTATGTCTTAGGGAGTATTTATTGATTCGGCAAAGTTTTTAGTAGTAAAGTTGTTCTTTGACGACAAATAGGTGAACTGCTTTATTTGAATTAATTAAAATTCATTTTCTGAAACATTTCGATTTAACATAAAATCAGTTAATCCTAATTCTGAAGATCCTAAAGTTTCATGTATAATTAAAGTTTATTATAGAAACCGTTTATCATGTCTTCTAAAATCCAAATGACTTAAACGAGTTAAACGAGATGTGTAACAAGAGTTCCTTAAGTAATGACTAACAAATACACACATTTCATTGAATATAGACTTAGCCTATACACCATAATTAGGAGTTAAATCTCGAAGATTCTCTCTACTTTTAGTCAAAAATCTATGTTGGTCCGGACTCGAAATCAAAAAGTAGTGGCAGACTAGCTGTTCCAGTTGTAGAAAATGTAGACGAATGTTTTTATTCCATATCTATATTAATAATCTGTACTTGTCATGCAAACCATGTTACAATCTACCACAGTTGTGGAGAGAACGTTGAAAGTGCCTTCCATCTGTTTTATTTCTGCGCGGCACATATGTGGCGCCGCCTTACCACTTTAGGGGCTTTCTTATTTGATGTTCTTGGTCAATTGCAAGACCTCCACTTGAATCGCACTATAAACTTTGTCAAATATTCAAAGCTCTGAGTTTTTCAACATACGGTAACGATGCAAGCCCATTAAGTTAGGCCTAAGTGGATTCTTTGGGATCGCTAGTGTAGTCCAACCTAACCTAAGTGAGCGCATCATTAGTGAGAAGGGACGAAGCAGTGACTTTAAAGAATCTTGTATAAATACTAAATTTTTATAAAAAAATCTTATCTACACTGTAAAGTTACTTGTTCTGTTTGTGATTAAATTTAAAAATATTTTCAATATGGAAGTAAAGTTAACATTTATTATATGTAAAGTATTAAAAATTTCAATATTCTTTCAGTTTATTGGTTAATATCTTTTTTGAAGCTAGAACCCTAAAAGTGCAAAACAAATCTAATTAACTATTTGGAATATCAGAATTTTAGAGGTGATAAATATGTCCGCCCTTTTTCAATATTACTACACCAACTCACTGAACCATTTCAGATAGCTATTATGGACGCAAACATAAATATCTGTGACGTAAAATCCAAACTCAATCTCAGAGAAAAAGCAAATAAAATTCACAATGAACTTAAAGAAATGAAAAAGGATTTCAAAGAGGCAATAGAAAGTTTACTGGACTTGAATAATATTAAATACAATTCCATAAACAACACTAACAATAATGAGAGTCAGGATCATGAAGGTAGTATTAACATAATAGATCACAATAGGTGTAGGATATAGTATTTCGTCAAAACAACAAATTGTTCTATTAGTTGATTTTGATGAAATACAATTCTTTCCAATCATAAAATTAACTTCAAAATAGTTCGATATTTATATCCTTCGTATTATCACAGTGGGTATGTCAAAATCTGACATCAGTTTTGAGCAAAAATATGAATTATATATTGCTGCTAGACGCAAAGGCTTAAGTAAAAGAATAAAATCTGTGCAAAAGTTAAAAGATCAAATCGAAACTACTCTCGATGAGAAAAAAAGTGTAAAGTATCCATAAATTCTTCACGTACTTTATAAACTTTATTAATTCATTTTTTAATCTCTATAGAAAATTACTATGGAGCTAAATATCGATACGGAAAACAAAAACAAATCTCATAATGCTGTAAAGCCTGATCTTAGAAAAAAATATTCTGAATTATGGTCAGATCTAAAAGAAATGAAAAGAAATTTTAAACATGCTATAGAAGACTACTTAGAACTAGATAATATTCCTTACAAAAAAAGGAATCGTCCACATAAAAAGATTAAAAATCCCTTTAACAATGCACTAGATATGTCGGAAACAGATGTCAGTTTGGAAGAAATATATGAATTGTTCTGTGCTACTCGATGCAAACGTTTCACTAAACGAGTAAGGTTTAAACAAGAATCGAAAAATCAAATGGAAATTGTTAGCGGCCCAATAATCTGTCGAAAGGGATTTGAAAATCAAACTAGCAGCGGTATTAATGCAAACATGCCTATGATAACGGATGAAGCATGCTCACTTTCTGTTATTAAAGAACGTGAGAATATGAACAACATCCCTAGTTCGGCTATCAGTAATTTAATCAGTTATAAAAACACTGAAAAGTTAGCGCATTCTAGAAACACTGGCGGTGCTCCTGTAGTTAGCTTTAAAATAACAGCACTGAAAAGTAAAAATCTTGGTCAATACCAAAGAATAAGATCTGAACAAGTATCAAGAGATCAAATCGAAACGATTGGTGGTCTGAAAACCTGTCAAAAAAGATTAGGATATCAAAGCAGCAGCGGTATTAATACGACCATGCCAATAATGACTGATGAAGCATGCTCACTTTCCGTTATTAAGGAACGTGAGAAAATGAACAACATCCCTAGTTCAGCTATTAGTAATTTGGTCACTGATTATCAAATATCAAAAATGTTACCAAAAGCGATGAAAGGTGGCAATGCTCCTGAAGTAAGTTTGAATATAACAGCTATGAAAAGTAAAAACTTGGGTCAACACCAGTATAAGATAATGAAAAACCATAATATTGGATGTTTTTTGTATCAAAAACCAGTCACGAGAAATAATGAATCAAAATCAGAAATGAACGGTGAGATCATAGTAAATATTCCCGAAGCATTAAAAAGAAATGCAATTAGAAAAAACAGCAAACCAAAACCTGGGCATTCAATGAAAAGTTGTTACAATAATTATAAATATATTATAGACGCGTACAAAAATAATAACACATCTTCAGCTTCACATCAGAAAGAAAGTATTTATGCAATGATAAATAACACAAGCCCAGGTCCCCACCACAAACGTTACCCAAACAGAAATGACGAAATACCTCAAATAATCGATATCTCAAAATTAGAAATGGAAAGTGAGCGAATTCTCAACTCTCCTCTTGCATCAGTAACTAATGCGAATGGCTGCAATAAAAATGACAACATATTAAAGCATATAAGTAGAGAAGATTGCGGTAACCATCAAAGTAATCATGTCACACCTCAAAAAAACGACAAATCTTCGGCAAAAAGTGGTAGAGATCGTAACCATACACAGACATTACCCACAAATTCTGAACTTCATTCATCTCATAGGTCTTCTGAAAAGAAAATTCCATTTCCAACAGAAACACAAACTGAGATGATGCTCAAAATTCCTTGTTCATCGAGAAGTGAAGCAATTAACAATAACGAATGCAGTAATACATATATGCGTTTGATTAGCGGAGGTTATAATAATCATCAATCTGATACAAGTGCGTCTAAGGGAACCTGCATATCACCTACTATAACTAGAAAGGATTGTGATTATGCAGTAGATCGGCACACAAACACGTGTCACCAGCAACATGGTGCTTATAATAATCCTCAAGCTGATAGGAGTGCATCTAAGGGAACCTGCATATCAGCCACTACAAGTAGAAAGGATTACGATTATACAGTAGATCGTCACACAAACACGTGTCACCAGCAACATGGTGCTTATAATAATCCTCAAGCTGATAGAAGTGCATCTAAGGGAACCTGCATATCACCCACTATAACTAGAAAGGATTGTGATTATGCAGTAGATCGGCACACAAACACGTGTCACCAGCAACGTGGTGCTTATAATAATCATCAATCTGATAGAAGTGCATCTAAGGAACCCTGCATATCACCCATTATAACTAGAAAGGATTGTGATTATGCAGTAGATCGGCGCACAAACGCGTGTCACCAGCAACGTGGTGCTTATAATAATCATCAATCTGATAGAAGTGCATCTAAGGAACCCTGCATATCACCCACTATAACTAAAAAAGATTGTGATTATGCAGTAGTTCGTCACACAAACACGTGTCACCAGCAACGTGGTGCTTATAATAATCATCAATCTGATAGAAGTGCATCTAAGGAACCCTGTATATCACCCACTACAAGTAGAAAGGATTACGATTATGCAGTAGTTCGTCACACAAACACGTGTCATCATCAACGTGGTGCTTATAATAATCATCAATCTGATAGAAGTGCATCTAAGGGAACCTGCATATCACCCACTATAACTAGAAAGGATTGTGATTATGCAGTAGATCGGCGCACAAACGCGTGTCACCAGCAACGTGGTGCTTATAATAATCATCAATCTGATAGAAGTGCATCTAAGGAACCCTGCATATCACCCACTATAAGTAGAAAGGATTGCGATAATGCAGTAGTTCGTCACACAAACACATGTCACCAGCAACATGGTGCTTATAATAATCATCAATCTGATAGAAGTGCATCTAAGGAACCCTGTATATCACCCACTACAAGTAGAAAGGATTACGATTATGCAGTAGTTCGTCACACAAACACGTGTCATCATCAACGTGGTGCTTATAATAATCCTCAATCTGATAGAAGTACATCTAAGGGAACCTGCATATCACCCACTATAACTAGAAAGGATTGTGATTATGCAGTAGATCGGCGCATAAACGCGTGTCACAAGCAACGTGGTGCTTATAATAATCATCAATCTGATAGAAGTGCATCTAAGGAACCCTGCATATCACCCACTATAACTAGAAAAGATTGTGATTATGCAGTAGTTCGTCACACAAACACATGTCACCAGCAACATGGTGCTTATAATAATCATCAATCTGATAGAAGTGCATCTAAGGGAACCTGCATATCACCCACTATAAATAGAAAGGATTGCGATAATGCAGTAGTTCGTCACACCAACATGTGTCACCAGCAACGTGGTGGTTATAATAATCCTCAATCTGATAGAAGTGCGTCTAAGGATACCTGCATATCACCCACTACAAGTAGAAAGGATTACGATTATGCAGTAGAGCGTCACACAAGCAGGTTTTACCATCAACATAACTCAATGAACACCAGATCAGAGGATAGCAGAGTACCCAAGCTAGAAATGAAAAGTGAGAGAATTCTCAATGCACCATTGATGTTAGTTAATAATAAGAATGCGGGCAATGAAAACACTGAAGTTACCGCAAAGTTTTTAAAAGATGGTTCCTGTGTCTACCAATATTATGGTGGTGCCATACCAAAAACTAATGTATCTTCAAGAATTGGTAATAGAAATCAAATAAACTCTGGTCACCACCAAATTCACTCAACGGGAAATAAGGAGATAGTTGCTTTCAATTCTCGTCAGACATCAGAAAAGCAGATTATATCTAAACCAGATATAAAAACAGATGAGATGCGCCATATTCCGAGTTTATCGATGAATAAAGAAATTGGCACTAATGAAATTCCTGCACATTTGATAAGAACTGGTTGCAATAATAATCAATATATTGATGGTATGTCTAAGCAAACATGCATGTCACCCAGAGTTAATAGTAAGAATTGCGATCATGCGGAGCACCATAACACCTCAGGTCAGCGCCGACTTTACTCAAAAAGGCACGATGAAATTGGTTGCTTCTATAATAGCTAAAAATTATTATAACTTACACAAAATTAGAAAGTGAGAAAAGTGGTTTGGGCGTTTTTGTAAGCTAAGTTATATCATATATTTTATATTACAAATCGATTGAGGTACTTCCAACTGCAGCGTGATTCTCATAGTCTTAAACTTGGAAAATCTGTCTTAATATGCACCTTAACTACTAAATTTTAGTTTCAAAATTTTTTTGAAAATTATTATATGATGGACTACATGTGTATGTATATCAATATATATTTAATAATATGCGAATAAACGAGAACCTCAAATTATTCATATTATTATTTTACACATATCATTTGATAGGTTAAGTAAATAGTTAAGTAGGTTAAGTAAATATTGTAGGTTGGTTATACTGGCGAACATAAGGACAGGACTCCAGAGTTTTTTAACGTTATTATCTGCCGTCAATCTCAACAGCACGAATGCTGTTAACACATGTATCGGTATATTGCGCCGATAAACGTTCCACTGGTGTCCAAGGAATTCCGCAGACACCAATTGAAACCATACGTTTGGATAATGGGCTCCTAAGGAGTTCAAGCCAAGCATTAGGTCCAAAGCAGTTAATGGTGTAGTACTCAATGCACCACTTATACCGAGTTTAACCCTACGCTGCACCTTGTTGAGTATCATACAGTACGAAAACTTGTCCAAAGCCGTACATAATAATGTATAACATTATAGGTCTTATGAGAGCCACAAATTAAATTATTGACTATAATTAAACCAAAATGAACGTGCAATATAAAACTATTGGAATCTACATCAAACTCAAATGTAGAAATTATTCATTCAACAGATTTTAAAATTATGATGGGATGAGAAGCAATCTATAGAAATAATATAAGGTATCTAACCCATCTTGATAGACATCCGAACATGCTAGCTTAACAATTTCCAAGCAATCACAGAAATCTCGTCAGCTAATAAGATTGGACAAACAGGACTTCCTTTCACTTAAAAAAAAGGTTACAAGACTTATGATTTTATGATTTTAAGCAATATAGGTGTAGCACTGTCTGCCTCCTATCAATTAAGAAACACATTAGACTTATGTAACAAATATTTTAAAAAGAGCGAGTTAAATGTTTCCTAAAAATATGCTTTAGTGAATGAAGTATAAAAGATAATAATAAAAAAAAATAAAAACAAATTCAAAATAAAAAAAAAAAATAAATAAATAAACAAAAAAAATAAATAAAAACAATATTAAATAAATAAAAAAAACAAAAATAATAAAAAATATGAAAACATAATAATAAAATAATATAAATATTAAATAAAAAATAAATACATAAATCAATAAATAAATCATGCAACAACTAATGTCTCTATAAACAGAATAGTATTGATATATAACAATTATAAATTATTAATTCTATTATTCTACAGCTGGTTTATGATTTCGGTCTAATGTAACACAGCAAGTAAAATTGTTAATAAAAACTTTCATAGCAGATTAACAAAACTCCAGAAAAATATGCGAACAAAAAAAAAAAAGTCAAGTACGACTTTGGGTCAATTGGTTAAGGAGCGCTGACTCTGAGCTTCAAATTTGTTAGGGCATAAATTCAATCCCTGGTATTTTTTATCTCAAAAAATTATAAATTATTTACTAATAATTATATACAATAAATAATTCCAAGACTACCGATGATGGGTATTTGGCAATACTCGAAACAGCTGTGTGGTCAGCCAAAAATTCAATTAATTAATAAAATAATAATATATTATTGTTGTAATGCAATACTGTTTGAAATACTGCTCTATCGAAAACAATAGTTTCTATTAAGAATTAATTTTTTTTTGTCATAACGGACATTTACCCATTACGGTCTGCCATTGGATTCGCTCGTACGATTTGATGAAATTCTAATGTGTGTCTATTGGAGATCATAGAAATTGAAAGAAACAGAAATTTTTTGATATCTTGAAGTATTCCTGCGTTATAGTATGAATGTTAAAATAAATAATAAATAATAAAAGAAAAATAAAAATAATAAAAAGAAATAAAATAAAACAATAAAATAAAATAATAAAATAAAATAAAAATAAATCCAAAAATATAAAAATAAATTAAAAAAAAAAATAGTTCAATTTAATTTAATTCATTATAAAATATTAATTATTGAATGTTTAAATTACTTTATACAGATATTTAATAAAATTTTCATATATTTAATAACACAGCAACGAACTCAAAAATTATAAAACTTTTATTGCTAAATGTGAGAAGCAATTAAAATTGAAATATTTCGTAAAATAATACAACTTTTGTAGTGCAATTAAGCCACGTACAAGTATTTCCACAAAAATACAAAACCAAAATTATGTGTTGTCGTATGTTGAATTGCACTCAGATTAATAACACACATCAAAATTAATTTTAAAATAACAGGAGCTCCTTTACACCCAAGCGCACAATTTATGAAAGCCATTAGAAGAAAAACTGTTCGAGAGAGAAATAACATAAAATTATAAAGGAAAACTATTGCAACACTTGCCACATTTATAAGGCAGAAAAAATAGCTGAAGCACCTAGAAGTATGCAACAAGAAATTAGCCATTTGGATACCTGCGAGACTTGCAAAAAAAAAAACAATCAAAAAAACACTGGCAGCAAATTAAATGAAAATTGCTCGATGAACACATGTTGACATTTTTGTGTTTGTTACGTGTTTGAAATAATATTCCAAAGAGCAGATTTCAAAAAATACTAAATAATATTATTAACAAAAAAAAAAAAAAAATTAAAGCATAAAGTCAGAAAAACAACATGTAAGGAGGCGAGCTAATGACACATTCGGTGGACATATGCAGCATTCTTGGGTTGATGTTTGCGTGTATGCGCCCCTCTAATTGTTCGCCACAAAACGTCAAAACAAGTAAATTTCAAGACTCGTTAGAAATGTTAACGAAAAATAAAATAAATATGCAAACAAAAAAAAAACAAAAAGAAAAACACAAAAACAAACAAAACGCAAAACAAAAACGAATAAGAAACACATAAGACCACCTTAGCATTCATGACATCGCAGCCAGACGTGGAGCAAAAAACAAAAAATAAAATAAATATTAAGAAAACGCCGGCCATAACTCATAACATGCAATCAACGGTGAAAAGAATTAGGCGAAGAGGAAGCAAAGCGAGCTGCACTCACGAAATTCAACTTTCTTCATTCCTCTTAGTCCTCCTTACATTCCGACTTTTATGCTTTTATGCTTTTCTGCTTTTCTGTAAATCTGTACACACTTTTTGCACTTCTCCGTGCACACACATTCCATATACATAACTGCAATGTATTTAAATATTTTTTTTGCTGTTTGTTTTATTTCTCTGTGTAGCTTTTTAGGCGGCGAGAAATTTTCGGTACGTAAGCCATGTCACATATATAAGGTGAATGCTGAAGTGGCTCTGAACGAACGTACGACCAGCGCGAGTCTTTACAACACTACAAGGTAACAAAGTGACCTATATTTGTCACCAACCGCCTAAGAAGCTTTTCTAAATCTGAAAGATTTTTTTTCAAGAAATTTTCTGCTTCACAAAAAAGGTTGCGTGCTAAAGAACTAGCTTAAAAATTGTCTCTCCAACTACGGAACGTTTAAATATATTTAAAAAAAATCGCCATTAAAGCAGTCACAAAACCAACCCATAAAAAATCTAAAATTGTATGAACACCATATTGTTTTTACTCAGAGCCATGGACTACAATAATATTACAAAAACAAATAAGTTACAAATACATTTGTGTGTTATGCGGGGCCAACAAAACAGATTTGTGTTTACGATTTTTATCAAATTTTTATTCCAATGTATTCTTTGGATCAAGTCATTAGGTGTAAAATATAATCCTAGTAAAATGTTCTCCACGGGAACAGTTGGTCCCATCAGAGTAAAACACTGCAAGCGTGGTTGTTCTCTTGTACTGTTAACCGATTCAAACCGAATAGTGATTAGGTTAAGTTGGAGTGGCTGCCTTGTGTACCAAGAAAGCCCAATTGAGCTTAAATAATTGACCGTTTTAGTACTACAGGAATAGCGATGGTTCGTACAAAGACTATGTGATCAGTATACAACCATTGACGAAAGAAGGCAACGACTCTCTCATTAGGTGAATGTAAACCAACCTGACTGTTTTATAAACCTGTCTAAATCTCTAATATTACTGGATGATAGCTCAGTCGGAACAGTAAAGAGAAAGGGGCTCACAAGATTTTTAATTTTCTAGCTTAAGGTGGGCACTGACATATGAGATGCAATACAGTTTCTTTCTTGTCCTCAGACCCACAGCCGCGACAAAGATCATTATAGGGAAGACCTGGTTTCTTAGCATGCCTCCCTATTGTGCAGTGACCCGTCAGCACCAATACCGTATTACTGAGCAGATTCCGCATTAGTTGCAGTAACTGACTGGTACGTTTTCATATCCAAATTAGAACATATTGACCTGGAAATCAGTTGTCAGATTTCTAGGTCGATAGGATTCAACAGTCCCTTGTTGCTTGATTATGTTTAGAAATGTTTGTTTGATTGCTACTTTAGCTGTTGCAAGTGTAACCCCAATATCTGAAAAGTGAATGTCAGAGAGAAGAGCCCCTGCCTTGGCAAACTCATCCACCCTACAATTACACGATATGCGGCTATGACCAGGAACCCAGGAACCAGGAACCTTAACACGTCACTTAGGGAAGCACGGCAGTTTTATGCTATAAGTTATGTGGCTGTGGATATGGTGTTTAGCAGCGATTTAATGGCAGCTTGGCTGTCCAAAAAGTGTGAAATAGTTACATAGGAGGTTTGGTTGCAAAGAACCCATTTTTCAAGAAAAGAAAAATCTGTTTAGAAGTCTAAGTATTAAATTATTCCGATTACAATTCCATTGGAAGAATTTACTACTTCTTAATGTTTTTAGATCTTATAGCATTCTAAACATGTACCATGTATACTCTTGTCGAGTAACTTTACTTCAGTTTTTTGATAAGATATTCAGTTGACTTCCCTATTTTAAAGACACCAGAATTGCATATAGAAAGATAACAAAATAGCCAAATGTTAACGAATATACGAGTAGTGTGATTTATGATTTTTTGTTAAAGTACATATATACTATTATTTTTTTAAACCGTTTGGATTTTTCTCTCTATCTATTTTTGTCTTTTTCTTCTCTCTTTCTCTCACTCTCTGAAA